CACCTGAACACGGCTTTGGATTTACGAACAAATGGAGCTACCAACACAGTGCGGAACATAAGTTCGGTACCTCACTCCCCATTTGTTCCCCGATGTACATGCTTAATTTGGAATAGGAGAGGTTTCCAAGCATAAGAGGTGCTGACGGAGGTTTTGCAACAGAAACCGTTTGTTCATGAAACGCCCGACCGATTACTCTTCCTTCAGACATGACTTTAACTTCCAACCATGTTTCCTTCCCCCGCTTTTTCTCGAATCTTCTAACTTTTTTTTTTTACTAAATGTCAACATGCAGTCTACATAACCGGTGATTATAGTAGGTTGTAAAAATGTAAGTCTCGCATTAAACTTACTTGCTCTTTGTTCGGAAGAATGCACTGGTGAGAAATCCAAGCAAAGTGCGCTAGCTTTAGTTTATCTTCCCAGGAAGTTCTCTTGCTTTTCAGCTTAAGGGAAATGCCAGAGTAAACAGCAGCCATTGCCGCACTTCACCTACGATAGAACGCGATCGGAAAAGTCAGATTAAGGTCAAACTCTACAGGCACCAGAAAATGAACATGACGAATCTTATGGTCTACATAATACGTGTGTGTGTGTGTGTGTGTGTATATATATATATTTCTTTAATGAATTAAAACACATCAACAGGCCCTAGCTGGTCTGGCTCAGTGGATAGAGTGTCGGCCTGCAGACTAAAGGGTCCCAGGTTCGATTCCGGTCAAGGGCATGTACCTTGGTTGCAGGCACATCCCTAGTAGGGAGTGTGCAGGAGGCAGCTGATCGATGTTTCTCTCTCATCGATGTTTCTAACTCTCTATCCCTCTCCCTTCCTCCCTGTAAAAAAATCAAAAAAATATATTTTTAAAAAAACAACACATCAACAGAATTGTTGGGCATAAATCTATACAATAAGTTGCTGGCGCACAAGAAATTTCTGGGGGGGAATGCAGAGAAAAGCAGGCAGAAGATAGGTTACACACATAGGTACAACTATTCCTACTGTGCAAACATCGCATCCCCAAAGGTGAGTACGCATGAATTCAACTGGGCAAAACCCAATGGAAGAAGATCCATTCACACATGGTTTGGGGTTGAAAAAGTTTAAGTTTCTGTACAAATCTCCTAAAACATACTATGCATTATGTATCAAAAGCAGCTCAAAGAGCTAACCAAGCAGTATTTAGAGAAACAATATCCCTCCAAGTGAAAAAAAAATTTAGTATAAACCCAAAGGGAGTACTGTTATTTCGGCTGCAACAGTAACATCCCACTATAACTTTGTTAATGTGTAAACTCACAAAGACCTGCTGCTTTCCAAAAAGACTACAAAATACAGCTACACAATTAAGAGTGCAAACAGAGAACACAATAACATCATCAACAAAGAAGGAAGGCAAACATACCAGCCACCTAGAATTCTATACAATTTAAAGGTAGCTTTGAGTTTCCTAAAAGTCATAGTAAAAAAGGGGGGGGGGAATATCTCTGGTTAAGCCATTTTCATTAGATGAAAACACACGTCTTTACTTCAAAAGAGAAAAATGTTCACGATCCTTAATACTGAAATTATGGTAAATAAAAAAAACAAAACAGAGCAACGGAAACACCAAAAAAAAAAAAATCGCAGTCCATGATTCTAATATAAAACTGTCAAAGCGAAAGCATTTCCGGTTGGATCACTTGCACTTTTTAAATCCATGGGCCCGGGAATCCTCGGAGTCCAGACCTGCCTTCCAAACTCACTCTCAACACGGAATGAGCGAACGCCGGTGAAGGGCACCGACATGGAGCGCGGGACCCTTCACTCCGCTACACGGGGCAGGCCCGGCCCAGCGCTGTCATCTTCCCGTTTTGCCAAAATGTCCCACGCCCGACAACTAGTTACTTAACTTCCAAGTTCAGTGTGTTTGTAGCCACCGCCGCGGCTACAAGGTAACTTCCAAAGGGTTTGCAGAATCGGCTACAAAGACGCGCAGGGACCCTCCGGGACCTACCCGCGCTCCGCTCGGGGGACCCTGCAGCCGAGCTGGGAAGGGTCCCCGAGGATTTCTCACGCAAAAGCTGCTCACGCGCGCTGCCCTCGGCATCCCGCCGGGAGGGCCGGGCCCGGGGCGGA